CGGTCATTCGACGTAATTCAGCCACATACTTAGCAATTCCTTCGTCAACACGGCGAATTCTGCTATGGAATTTAAATCTCTCTACAATGACGCTTGGTGTTGGAATAAAATGCTTTTCCAGCTGTTTGAAAATTTCTTTTATCTCCGTATCCCCCGGTTTCTTTGGCTGTAGTAAATCTCGTATTAATGCGTATGTTTTCGAGCCACACACGCTGAGAAATATTGCCCGCTGCTTTTTGGCGTCTGTCACTTCATTTGCTAGGAAATATTGTTCCAGCCGTTCGGTGTATTGGGTCCACGTTTCTTCTGCTTCATCAAACGGACTTACTTTTCCGTAGGTGGCCATTTATACGTGTGTTTCGCTTAAAAAAAAATCCTCGTCGCCAATGTTATAACCACCCAGTTCTGTGTCTCAGTACACGATGGCCCGAACCCCCAAAGGATTCTGGGATACTACAGTTTGGATAAGTGTAAATATTTCATAATGCGTTTCAAACCCTTTCAAAGATTATATCCGACCCTGAAATATACTCACTATAGCGTTATGATCGTGAAAACGACTTAAATGTGTATGGTTTAAGTGTATATATGTAAAATAACAAATAATAAGGAATATTAAGGAAACTATACGATTAAACAAACTATACAAATTACAATACCTTTCGTAGGTATTGGATATTTTTTCGGCTTATGTATGCCGACAGTGTTTAGTCAAATGACGAAAAATATCAAGCAGTTGATTGTTGCGGTGCTCACTAGCGGTTACCAGAAAGGAAAACATAAGAGGCAACAAGATAAACAAACACATTATAACATGTCGAACAAACACCTCATGCAAAAGCGTCATTCAAATAGTCGCTGGCCTTGTTGTAAGACGGAATAATGTTATCACACAACACATTACAAAATTAATTCAGAAATTTAAGCCAATATAATCATGACGAGGCTTAGGTTGATTTGGCTATTAAACCAATCAAAATGCGTCAATTATTTCCATGTTTACTTATTCACATGATTAACTTCGCAGTTTAGCATATCCAAATTTCCGGTTTTCCTTTGAACGAAATTTCGGACTGCGAGCGGACTATTTTATACATGAAATTGCAGTGATTATTATTATTCATTAATCCAGCGCATCGGTTGTAATTTTATGTGTTTTTACCATGGTTTCGAGTGCAATTTGGATATGACATGCGCGAGTGAGTTTTTCGAAGACCTTTTGAGGTCCGAAAGACGAGTACTATTTGAAGTCTTACACATGCACCCGTGAAAAACTCAAAACGCGGAAACAAGCCACTTGTGTATACTTGGCAGGAGTAATATCCAGAAAATTTAAAAGTTCAATGATTGCCTCTTTTGCAAAATGTAGTCAGTGACTCAGTGTCTCAACATCAAGAACTTTCCCGGTATCCATCGACATAACCGTAACACACCCGTTACATGATGAATGTCCCCTTCGTTGCCAGGTACCGTCACATCAAATACCACAGTTTACAGGATTTGTTCCATCAACATCTTCATTTTGTTGCAAAACACACACTTCTTTTGCAGCTGCTTTCGTGCTCTTCTTAGCAACTGTCTTTGCATGCTTAGCAATGACACAAGATGACTTCTTGAAAGACTTGGTCTAGGTGGTGGACCGGTGGTGGCATATTCATGACAGAGCAAACCTTTGATGCACCAGCATGATCTTTGCCAATCATTCGCATTCCATACAATAATCGTCAATTTACTTTAAAACTCTTTTGTTTTTCGTTATGAAATCCAAGACAAATGCATCAATTTGCAGTTTTGGCAAGTGAGGTGGAGTTTAGAAGCACAACCTTTACGTTTGATACTATTTTCTTCCATTGTGTTGTATACATTCTGGGAAGCTGACAAATACGTTAATATGGAAAAAACATTTCCAATAAGTTCCATATCACAAAGCCTGAATCCATAAGTGCCTTGAGAACTTTCTGTTGAAGGTTTAGGGGTTCTTTTCTTACTGGAATTCTGCCGAACACGAGGCTGAAGCTTCTTGTAGGACACTGAAATTCCAGCTGGAATGGCGCCCACGTTGCCCTCATCAGCACTCAAAGAAACCTCGCTTTCCTCGTTATTTTCTTGCATTACTGGCTCACCCTCTCCCTCATATTCAACACGAGAACGTTTAGTATGTCGATTGCCACAAAATTGGCGTTTTTACGCTTCTGTGTAGCAAATTTTCCCATTTTACTTTCGCAAAATAACTCTCGATCACAATGTTAGAAAGAATGTTGTTTTTTTTTGTCTGCGCGTTTCGTAGGGGGCCTGGGGAAAAGCTTAGATTAGAGCCCAGTCTTCCCTAAATACCCCACGCTTTTTACGCAAAATTTTGTAAATAAGTTCGATTTTATAGGCAAAAAACAAAGGGTAAACAAATTTGTTTCCATAGCAACGAGTGAATATCCAGTAAAAAACCTTTAAAATAAACACATTTTAGGCATAAAATCATGGAGAAAGCAACATAGGACTATATTTTGATAACATAGGCATCATATAAAACAAAAACAAAATTAATTTTTTCAAAAATTTGAGAAAAATTTGAGGGTCATTCCACCTTATTCCACCTTAAAAATCGAAATATTGATTTTTGACGGTCCTTAAATTTTCTAAGAAACGTATCGATTTAATTTTTTTAAATTGAGGGGAAAAAATCGTTATACAAGTATTATCTTTTATGCAAACTTTTAAAAAATTTCACCAAAGGGAATTTTTAAAATGACCTGAAAAAGACAAATTTTGAGCTCTATTCTAAGCATGCTGCTGCCATGACAACATATTTTTAACACAAAAGTAGCAATTTACAATGTTCAGGAGAACATTGTCAATGTGTCCAATAAATTTAGTTTTCATGTGATGTAAAGTAAAGAAACAGGAGTCTCCTGAATACTATAGTGTAGTAAATTAAAAAACCCTAGGGAGCCACCTTAAAGAAATAGAAAAAATTCTCCGTGTTTCTATATATAGAATTATAAGAAACACGCGTGGAAGTTTGGTAGAAACGAGCTAGAAATAACATGGGAACACGAGCACGAAGTGCGAAAGTTTCCATGCAATTTCGAGTTTCCCCCAAACTTCCACAAGTGTTTCTATAAACTCTATAGGAACACGGAAAAATGTTTTCTATTTCCTTTAGCCTATTAAATAACCTTTTAAAGGTAATAAAAAAGATAAATTTACTAACAGGCTTACTTTACTAATGTATCAAATTCACACAACATTTAACGTACATGTTTGCAAGAAAGCACTGTCTAAAATAGTTAGTAAACGTTTAAACATGATTAAAAAGGATAGTAAACATGATTAAAAACGTCGCCAGGAAATATTTTTTAAAAAGACAAAGTAAAATTAAAATATCTTACCTTCGCAAACAGTCAAACAGTTACAACGTATGCTGTATTATACTTTGTGCTTTAGGTCTTCGCTTTCTAAGTTAGCAAAGCGTTGCCTTTTTTGTGACAGTTCTTCGGCGTTTTCGGGCGTTTTCCAACTATTTTCAATATTAAATATTGTTTGCATATTGTTTAAACTCCGACTCAATCCACGCAATCCGCGTGAAAATTCCCCGTTTTTCTATCGAGTTATAGAAACACTGGTTTTTTGCGCTTTTGACCAATCAGCGCCTGTGTTTTTAAAAAGCTATTTTATAGAGTGGTTTTGCCAACACCGCGAGGGGTTTCTGCAGAGTGTTTGGTGAAAACTTTCCCCACTCTTTCTAAATAACGTTAGAGAATATCTAAAATTTAACAATTTCCTCGGAGCTAGAGCAATGTGTTGCGCCATTTTTTCGTTTTGTATACCGTCATATTCAATACAGCGATTGCAAGTGATCAGCGTTCTGAAAGTAGCAGGATTTGAAGTTGAAACAACATAAAGTGTGGTATTAGGATTTTGTTCTCATTTATATGCACCCGTTCAGCATACACCTCAACGGGTATTACCCATATGTTCTCAATTGAGAATATTCGGTATTACCCGTGCCAGACTATCGCCTGCGCTACTTGACGCAGACGCTTTCGCATATCATTATATATAAACCAATCACAATCGTCTTTCTATCACACGTTCTTCTCGAGCAAGGCTGCCACTCGTAGGGGGATTCCCCTACGGTAGGGGATTATCACCTCTTGTAGGGAGTAGGGGATACCTACGGGGAAAAAGGTAATTTGTAGGGGAACGTAGGGGATTTCTTTCACGGTTTATCTACAAAAATCGTATTTCTCTTTTTGTGATTATCCGAATCAGTCCTTCCGTAAATTTTAATATTATATGGCTTCTATGGAGTATGGAACATTGTATGGAACTGCAGGACTGTATGGAAACAACTAGAAATCTAAATTTGAATGTGGAAGCACTGAAATATCATGTGATTAATGACATTGTATTTACCCAGGAGAACCTGCACGCGAAAAAAAGTACAGCTAAAAACATGGCGGATTTTGGCCTTGGCTGACGGCATTTCCATGACAACTGGACCATAATTTTCATGGTAATTACCACTGACCAGGCTCGGATTTGAGCTCGCTGCAATTTCCACACCTCCTAGTTGCCTGAAAAAAACTTTAGGTTTTTGCAATTTTGCTCGGGTTTTACAGTAAAAAGGGAGTTTAAGCTTCATGTTTGCGGGAGCGCCAAACGGCAAGGCCGACTTTTCTTGGCATAATTTTCGTTCCATTTCTGCATTTTCTTTCATATGAAACAACAAGCCCATTTACTTTTTATTGCTTTATATCGTAGAATTTTTCTTTGCCTGACGTTTGTCGTTGAACGTGAAGCTTAACTCTCTATTGTGTAGTAAGTATAGGAGCAGGTCCTCCAGTTATTATACAGCCCAGTGACCCATGACCATATTCCAGGTGATCTCGTGTTCGTATTTTAGCCAATCAGCGCTCAGAAAGGGTTGTCCGAATAGAAATCCATTTTGATGTATTCAGTCAATTATATCTTTCGTTATTTTTCATGAAACTAGTTGAAATTTTGTAATTATGTTTGGTTATGAGAACTATAGCTCTGACAAAAATATGGAATCGAAATAAAGTACATTACAGGAGATATTCAGTTGTTTTAATCATAAAATGAATTTCTATTTGACAACTAGTGCCAGTACTTTTCCGCGTATCAAGATCACCTGGTTTGTAGGGAAAATACAATATTTGTAGGGGAACGCAGGGGGACATAGGGGAAAATTGCATATCGTGCTGTAGGGGATACGTAGGGTATTTCAGTGCCCGCCATAGGTGAAAATAGGTTGTCGAGAGTGGCAGCCCTGTTCTCGAGCTTTGAGCTGCCATATTTGAAAACATTTCTAGCAGATTTTCTAGT